TAGTGGGTGTGCACGAGGCGCGCCGCCGCCCTACCTGCACCGCCGATCTCGGCCGTGAGTGTCAATCACCGGGTCACGGCCGGTCATTACCGGCTGTGTCCCGCCGATTAGCAGCAATCACTGACAGAGAGCAAGGCTGCAGTAGCTCTGCTTTCTGTCAGGTCCTTGACAGCTCCTGACACGCTGATCGGGAGAGAAGAGTTTATCTCTCCCGATCAGCGTGTCCCAGTGCAGTACACACCCCCGCCCCCTAGTAAAACACTCCCCTCACACAGTTAACCCTTTCAGTGAATAAAAAAGTTAACCCCTTCCTCCCCAGTGTCATTAGTACAGTGTCAGTGTTTTTTTTTTTGCACTGATCACTGTATTGGTGTCACTGGGGATGTCAGTGACCCAAAGTCAGTTCCTCCCCAGTGTCAGAATGTCCGCCACAGTCCCGCAGTCCTGCCATAAGTTGCTGATCGCCGCCATAAGTCACTGATCGCCGCCATAAGTCGCTAATCGCCGCCATTATTAGTATAAAAAAAAATTAAAAAATCCGATTATCTTTCCCGCCATTTGTAAACGCTATAACTTTCACGTAAACCAATTAATTTACATGTATTGGGGTTTTTTTTTTAGCAAAGACATGTTGCAGAATGCATTTTGGCTGAAATTTATGACGAAATTTGATTTTTAAATTTTTTTTACTGGACATGTTTTATAGCAAAAAGTCCAAAATATTGTTTTTTTTTTTCTCAAAATTGTCAGCCTTTTTTTTTATAGCGCAAAAAATAAAAACGCACAGGCGATCAAATACCACCAAAAGAAAGCTCTATTTGTGTGAAAAAAGGATGTAAATTTCATTTATGTACCGTATTGCATGACCGCACAATTCTCCGTTAAACTAGCGCAGCGCTGTATAGCAAAAAAATGGCGTAAATTGCAGTATCTATACCATAGTTTGTAGGCGCTATAACTTTCACACAAAGCAATCAATATACACTTATTGGGATTTTTTTACCAAAAACATGTAGCAAAATACATTTTGGCCTAAATTTATAACCAACTTTGAGTTTAAAATATATTTTTTTAGCTGAAAGTAAAAAATAATGTTTTTCTTCAAAATTTTTGGTCGTTTTTGTTTATAGCGTGAAAAATTAAAAGCACACAGGTGATCACATACCACCAAAAGAAAGCTCTATTTGTGTGAATAAAAGGACGTAAATTTTGTTTGGGTGAAGCATTGCATGACCGCGCAATTATCAGTTGAATTAGTGCAGCACCGAGTAGCAAAAAGAGGCCTGGTCATTAAGGGGGGTAAATCCTCAGGAGGGCAAGCGGTTAAGCAGCAATTAAATTAATTAATTAAATTAAATAAAATTAATTCTTAAATTATTATATATTATATATATATATATATATATATTCACATGTATTCAGATTCCTCTACTTTGACAAGGCAAGCTGATGCATAAAGCTCAGCAATTAAAACCAAATAGGAATGTAAAAAAGTCTGTAAAAAAAGGGGGGGGGGGTTCTTTTTATCATTGTCTCCTAGACACTTAAAGGCTATTTATTATATGTTTTATTCAAGATTCACACAACTTTCATTCAATATTCACATATTTTTCACATAAGAATTAATTTAAAAATGTGCAAATTGTTGTATAAACATTTGGTGAAAACATTGATAATTAGACCCCTTTTAGGCATCTAGGATGTTGATTTACAATGTTGCTATGCTTAATAAATCTATGTACTTGTTTGTTATGATATTCCTGCATTTTTCACACTTTTCAGGATAATCTCGATTGTTTATGCATAATCTGCTCATATGTTGTATCATGTTTGTATCCATTGTATGGCTATTGTTTTGCTGGCTGTGAATAAACATTCTCTTAAGAAAATACATGTATAATGATCCCATAACGCATCCTTTAATATTCTTCACAGGTAGAGCTTTGTGTCCTTTAGAAGTAGGTGGTTCATAGTTTGTGACATATGTGATTGTATTTGTGACCAGAATCGTGTCATTGTAGAACATTCCCATATCATAAGTTGAAAGTATTTAAAGCATCACATCTGTTACAACTGCCAATGAAATGTTGTCCCATTTTGTAGCATTTTATTGGTATGAGAAATTCCTGATGTGTGATATAAATTGTATAATTTTGGTATTGATACTGAAGGAAACTAAGGGGAATATTTGTAAAGTAAATTTGGCTTTCACCAAACATTCACTGGTGAATTAATCAGCTGTCACTGGAAACACAAGCACCACAAAGATTGACCTGCAGTAAATGTTTGTTGAATGTCAAATGTATTACTTTATAAATATTCCCCTAACTGATATTCCTGTTATATTCCATTCCAGTGTTACTCCTGTGACATTTGGGTATCTTAACAGGTGGCGTATAGTTTTGGCTTGCCCAAAATATTGTTATATGACTGATATAAAGCCGTTTGGCCTCTAGAATAATAAAATCCCTATATGCACAAACTTTTAGATCAATTTTCCATCTCTTTTGATATATGAGATCAGGCCATGACTTAACCAAAATATTTATTTATTAAATAATTTTTAAAAAATGTGATTATTTTTGCAAAGAATTTATGTATATGTCCTTAAATAGTTGTTTAACTTTAGTGACTTGTTTATGTACTCACCATTTACCTTCCTATAAGCTGTACAACTCAAGTGGGCCTTGGTTGCAAAAATAAGTCTCTAATAGTTATGAACATTTATAACAGCTTAATATAGAATATTCAGGTTCTTGCAAAAGCTATCAAAATTGGACGTCTTTAACGCTAAGTAGACACATTTCTTTGCAAATTTGAACTATGACCACAAAGGTGGAAACATGTTCTTGTTTAGAAATCAACTCCCTGTGTCAATTTGCAAATGCTTACATTGGCCGCCTCCCAGACAGAGAACCAGAAAAAATGTCCTTGACAAAAGCCCCTTTTGTTTCCTTTCCTTTTCTTCGTGTACACAGAAAGATTTTGATAGAGCCTCAATGAAAATTACACATGTTTACAAGTGACCCTCTGTTCCAATCCTGCTTTGTTTTAATTGCATGCAAATATATTCAGTAAAGAATGTCTTCTATGGCAGAGACTTAAAAAAAAACTTGTATCTTTTTAATTCTCAGTGGATAGGCAGGCAACTCCTTATTACTGATTTGGATTATGGAGATTGTGTACGTAACTTCCAAATATTTAATCAGACTAAACATGTCAATCACTTTCTAACATGGGTAAACTACAATCTAGTGATCTGGAACCAAAAATATCCCCAATAACAATGTGTTTAATATGCTTTTGTTATACGGTCTACATTATGATTATATGCAGTGAATCACAGTAGTTTTGCATTATGATCTTTTATAGAATTATTGTTTTATTGCATTATAAGGTGAAAATAAATTAGTTTTTCATATTTTTCATCCCCAATATATCCCCACTAAGCACCCAAACACATGTAAAATAACCAATGTAATGACATGTATAATAGAAAGACACAGAAACCACTCAGTAAATGAATTTCAGAACATAGGAGGGTGAACTTTCCAGGTCAGGACCCATCAGTCTTCCTACACCTCAAAGCAGAACTCCAACTCCAGTCAAAAGTAACAAGATAAAAAGGAGCAATCAATCAAAAAACAGAATAGCAAAACATAGTTACTTCAGTTCAGATATTTTTCAATGCAGTATTACAACTAGATGTATTCAATCAGATGACCAATTCCAAGTCATCCTGCACCTACCCCAGCCTTTGACTGGACAGTGAAAAGAGAAACAAAATAGTGATGAAGTCATCTTTCTGTCACTGTGCTCTATATCTTTATTGACATGTACTGATTGGCTCCATGTACTTCTTTTTTCTCTCACACTCCAGCTCTGCTATACAGGACTGCAAAAGGCTAATACCAGGTCAAATTCAGGTACCTACACTGCTTGCATTTAAAAAAAAAATTTAATGATCTATTGTTAAATACAAAACTGTGTACATTTGTGTCCAGGATATCTGCTTACAGCTATCTCTATCCACATTTTGGACAGCTGTTGGGCAAAAGGCATGAAATAGGCTATCTATATCAGACTGGAACAACCATTCCTAAACAGGGATAAAAGCCTTCAACATCATCTATCTCCCACATGTTTTAATATTTAGTAGAAAGTCCAGAAAAATACTGCTCTCAAGTGCAACTGTCTCTACAATTAAGCTTGTTTTGGGGTGAAACACATTAACCACTTGCCTACCAGGCACTTATACCCCCTTCCTGCCCAGGCCAGTTTTCAGCTTTCAGTGCTGTCGCACTTTGAATGACAATTGCGTGGTCATGCAACACACCTATCAGTGCCCATCACTGCAACCTCATTAGCGCACACCAGTGAAGGAGAAAAATCACTTATTTACAATATTGTATAACAAAAACTAAGAAAAAAAGGGTTTTTTTTTCAAAATTATCAGTTGTTTTTGGTTTGTTTAGCAAAAAATAAAAAACCCAGAGGTGATTAAATATCACAAAAAGAAAGCTCTATCTGTCTAAAAAAAAAGATAAAAATTTCATACAGGTACACTGTATGAAATTTTTATCATTTTTTTGAGACAGATAGAGCTTTCTTTTGGTGATATTTAATCACCTCTGGGTTTTTTATTTTTTGCTAAACAAACCAAAAACAACTGATAATTTTTTTAAAAAAACCCCTTTTTTCTTAGTTTTTGTTATAAAATTTTGTAAATAAGTAATTTTTCTCCTTCACTGATGTGCGCTAATGAGGTTGCAGTGATGGGCACCGATAGGCTGCACTGATGGGCACTGATAAGGCAGCACTAGTAGGTGGCACTGATGGGCATTGACAGGCATCACTGATGGGCACTGAAAGGCAGCACTCATATATGGCACTGATAGGTGGCACTGATAGGTAGCACTGATAGGTGGCACTGACTGGCACTGTTAGGCGGCACTGACTGGCACTGTTAGGCGGCACTGATAGGCAGCACTGATGGACACTGATAGGTGGCACTGATGCGCACTGATAGGTGGCACTGACTGGCAGCACTGATAGGTGGCACTGACTGGCATTGGTAGGTGGCACTGACTGGCACTGATAGGTGACACGGAAAGGCAGCTCAGATGGGCACTGATATGTGGCATTGATGCGCACTGGTAGGCACTGATATGTGGCATTGATGAGGCACTGATGGGCACTGGCAGGTGGCATTGATGGGCACTGACAGGTGGCACTGCTGGTACTACACTGATCATCAGGACACACTGATCATCAGGGCACTGATGATCAGTGTACATGTCCCCTCCGAGGAATGACAATTACTGGCTCTCCTCTCTTCACGAGCTGTCAGCGTGACAGCTCATGAGGAGAGAAATGCCGATAACCAGCATTTCCCTATTTACATGCGATCAGCTATGATTGGACACAGCTGATCACATGACTGAGCCGACATCTTCGGCTCTTTCCATTGATCGGTGATCCGCTGTGCCCCCAGAGCCACACACGCGCGGTTAGGGTGGGAGGACATCATAGGATGTCCTCCTAGAACGAGAGAACCACCTTGCACCCGTCATTACCTTATATGGTGGGCGGGAGGCGGTTAAGGTAGAGCAATATCTACAGAGGATGTATCTACAGCTAGGAAGATTTTGAAATAAAGCTTTTGCTGCAGTGGCATTTGTGGAGTGCACTTGTCAGACTTGAACCTTTCTAATGTCTACAATCTGAAAACATTTTACACTTTCAGCCATGTAACTTGAACAGTTAACACATGTACCAGTCTTCAAGGCACCATGATGATTGGATTATGTGAATAGAATAGGGTGGTTTTACAAACTTTCTACCACTATGTTCTTGGACAGCATCTGCCTTGAAACTTTCTACAGTAAAGCAGGCCATAGATTACACAATGTTCTTGATGGTGGAATCAAGAAAATTGCTTGATTTCCCCATCAACGCAGTTAGTGTTGATGGGGGAATGATGGGGGAATTCCTCCCACAGCGTTATTGTGTTGTGCTGGTGGGGAGCCTTCCCAGCCTGCAGAAAACAATCATCACTGCTATGGCAGTGATCACAAGCAAAAAATATGGCAGGATCATTGTTCTGAATGATGGAACGTCTTCAGAACAATAGACTGCCCATAGATGGACTGAATCTCAGCTGGTCCCTGCTGAACTAACTGAGATTTGACTTTTTATATGTTTTACCCATGTGGCTATAAATGCTGAGGTAGGTTTCTGATGCCCATTAGAATTGAGGCAACTACTTGGATGAGTAGCAGAATATATTCAATACTACAGAATAAGTCCAAAGTGATAGAATAAACTACTGCTAGATACCCTTTATGGAGAAATAATGTTTTGCTAGGACTATTACATTATAGGAGAAAGTAACATTTGCAGGAGTAAGTGGGCGTTGAAGTTGATAATAAACATTTCAATACTTTTCTTAACAGAGCATCAGCATAATGAGGTAGGTAATATTGATGATATTGTTGTGGTGACTGATGAAGATGAAAAAGACAGAACAGTATCACCCTCCTACCCCAGGCAGGGAGCATCATAAACCAAATCAATAAGTTGACTGACAATAAATAAAAAACAAATTGATGCTTATTATGGTTATTGTGTAGCTGGGGCATTAAACACTTTTAATAGTAGTATTATAATCCAACCAGACAGGAAGCTCACAGCAACAGCCACATTCTTCTATTATTTTTTTGGGGTAGTGGCAGAATCATGGTCCTACAACAGCAGAATCACCATGAATCAACTAAATAGAGAGGTCAACAGTGATAAGTATAAGAAATAATAAAATCCTTCCACAGATTTGCCTAAGAGTACTATATTACCATAGTAATGAAGTAAAGTTTTTCTTGCATAATTGTTATTTCAAAGCATTTTGAGTTATTCTGGGTTCACTTATTAGAGTTATGTTTTAAGATTGTTTTTAGCCTCTCTCTTTTTTTTTTTTTCATCTCTTGTAACATTCTGCTGAAACTTTGTGATTTGTACAGTACTACTTGGACTTTGAAGAAGGGGACATACCCCGAAAACTTGTCCTCAAAATTGTATGTTAGTGCAAATAAAAAAAGTATCATGGACAGTACTCAATTGTTTCTGTCGCAAATGCACTAATACGGCTACAATCACCTCAAACAAGGTTTTTCATGAATTCTAGCCAATATAATTGAAGTTAAAGATGACTTTTAATATATATATATATTATTGATCTCACTGCATGCTATATGAAACCCACCATAAGGGAAACCAGGGGTGAGGGGGGGGGGGGGGGTTAGTCTTTGCTGGACTCTCCTTCTGAGAATGCTAGCTGCCTGTTTTTCATTGCTGACCTTATTGCATCACAGACCTGGAATGAGAATGCGGATGGAGATTTCTGACTTTTCTCTATCTATCTTGAAATACTCTGCATACTTGTTTGAGGCCAGTGACTCAACATCAAAACCACAACATCAAAAACAAAATAAATTTACAACTGTATACATGCAGGTTTGTATATGTGTGTAATTGAATTTTCAGAAGATTGTTATTGTTCAACAAACAGTAAAACAATGGCTTGTTAAATCAAAGATTAGCAAATTGGAGTAGAGGGTTGTAGCAGAAATTGTTAGTGGGGGATATTTTATGAAAAGACTAGCCATTCTGTATGTTACAATGAACACATTAGTGCAAAGAAAACATTTCAGTTTGGGCTAAAAGGCTGATTAATGAAGGTGATGCTTGAACAAACTTGCCTTTTATGTGACTCCGTTGAGCATACCCAGAAAGCTCCACTGTTTTGTGTCAGAGAATGGAGGTTTCAGAAATATAAATCAAATGTGTTATCCGGCATAGGACCCATTCAAAGATCCTTTGAATTTGATTTGCAAGTTACTCTTATATTGGAGAACAATCTTTCCCTCGATTTTCTTTTTAGTTATAAAACAGGATGATATTTGTCTTCTATAATGCTCATTCAAAATTATGTAATCATTTATGGTTCAGAGACTGTTTCTTAAAGGTTGGGTTGTAAAACATTGGTGTAGACTGTGTAGATATTTCAGTGACACATGAGAAAGAATAAGCTGAGAAAGGGACTGACAAAGATGACACTGAGGATATTTTTGTAGCACCCAGATTGAAATAATGAAGTATTTAATGTGTGCCTAGTGCTATGTTTTTATTTGGATAAAACCTCTGTCTGTTTTTTATTGATAATTATGACCCCATTAGAGATAGTCACACTCTTTAATTTTCTTAGTTATTATTATCCCTGGGACAGGTAATGTTGGGAAATGCTTAATTTTACAGTTATCAGTACAACAGAAAATGGGGAAATATTCAAGTGGGGACACATGTAACAATGATATATGTCTCAAAGGGGATTTTACCATACAAACTGACATGAAAAAAAGGTTTTTGCATGACGATGATTCCCACTGTTGACTCCATTACCAATGAGGAGAGAGAGTGAGAGAGAAAGCAGCACCATTGCTCTCAAAGCGCTGGATCAATATCAGGCTCAGGTAAGTATTTAGGGGTGGCTGGGGGGTGGGGAACTGAACATAGAAGGTTTTTACCTTAATGCAGAGAATACATTAAGATAAAAAACCTATAAGCCTTTACGTCCACTTTCATTTTTGTCACTTTCTTTGTCTTATTCCCCTATAAAGAAATCAGTCTGAGAAAGGACAAGGCAAGGCAATATATTTCTTTTCAATAGAGAATATAATTTTCTTTACAATAGAGAAAAAAAAACACACAGATGGGTTTGCTAAAATCTTTTCAATGTGCATGATATACGTGATTAGGATTTTTATTTCTTAAAGAGTAACTCCACCATTGCTCTGAAAAAAAAAAAAAATCCCCTCTAAGTGGTCAATGTACATTGCAAGAAGTCCTACCTGATTGTGCTCTGAAGAAAAAGCAGTTTGTTCCTCTACGTCTTTTGGATACTGAATCTGAATGGAACCCCTATTTCCTATTTGAAGGAAAGGATGGGGAGATGAAGACCTCATTAGACTTGGGGACAATGCATGTGGCAAAGTGGAAGGCCTGTTATAGTTTGGGAGAGGGGGGTGTATGCTCATAAAAGTATTTTTTGAACTCTAAGGGAAACACAAGCTTTTATTATGGTGTGTTGGTCTTTAAGAGAAAAGAACAAATCCAAGTATGCATCCATCTTTGCCAGGCACGTTGTACCCATGTTGATGAAGACAAATGCCTCAACTCCACATCCAGTACCACAAAATGGATGTGGAGTTGTATGTGTGGGGACATATTGGAACCTGGAATCTAGAACTAGGGGCTTCAAGATATCTGCTCCGCCTTCATGTTAATGTATGGGGTACATTCTACATATCATTCACTAAAAACATAAAAACAATGAAAATAAAAGCAACCATACTATGAAAAGCCTTTTATTAAAAAAAAGTGTTCCAATATGTCAAAACAATGTCAATCCACATAGATTCACATTTTTCATAATGCCACCATGATGAACCATTGTCTCCTATGCTACCCCTCCTATGCTGGATGTAGAAATTATATTCAAGCTGAATTCTACATATTGATCTGCAGCACCATGCAGATGCAATAGTTTAGTACAAAGCTATTGTTACTATGGACAAGACTCAATGAAGCTATATTGGCAGAGGATTCAGAGGAAAAGTTATTTAATCTCCAAACATGGAAAGGTTTCTTCACAGTGAGAGCTGTGAAAATGTGGAATAGACTCACTCAAGAGTTGGTTCTGGCCAGCTCAGTGGATTGCTTTAAAAAAGGTCTGGATTATTTCTTAGATACACAGAATATAACTGGATACTAACATTTATAGGTAAAGTTGATCCAGGGAATATCCGATTGCCTCTCGGGGGACCAGGAAGGATTTTTTTTCCTTGCAGAAGCAAATTGGACCATGCTTTGCTGGATCATGCTTGTCTGGGTTTTTTGCCTTCCTCTGGATCAACTGTGGGTAAAGATAACTTTTTTTTTTTAATGGTTGAACTGGATGGACTTTTGTCATTTTTCAACCAGACTATGTAACTACTATGTAACCTTACTGTCATACACAGGCTGCAGTGCACAGCTTAAAATAATGCCCAAATGGTGATTTTGGATCCAAGCTTGCAAAAAAACACGTACAGTGAAGGAAATAAGTATAGTATCCCCTGCTGATTTTGAATGTTTGCCCACTCACAAAGAAATTAACAGTCTAAAAATTGAATGGTAGGTGTATTGTAACACTGAGAAACAGAATAGCAACAAAAAAATTTCAAAAGAAAAGCATGTCTAACAAATGATGCACTGATTTGCATGTTCATGAGGGAAATAAGTATTTGGTCCCCTATCATTCAGCAGGATTTCTGGCTGCCAAGTGTCTTTAATACAGGTAACAAGCTGAGATTAGAAAAAGTCTCTTAAACGAAGTGCTGCTAATCTCATTTTGTTACCTGTATAAAAGACACCTGTCCACAGGAGCAATCAAACAATCAGATTCCAAACTCTCCACCATGGCAAAGACCAAAGATCTGTCCAAGTATGTCAGGGACAAGATTGTA